TCCACCTGTTGCTCTAATTCTAATCCTACCTCTAGAACCTCCGGTGATCACATCGTATCCTATATCACAAGTCGTCAATGAGGGTTCCAACGTGACGTTCCGATGCACAGTAACCGGCAACCCTATGCCAAATGTGACATGGCACACGGTTACTGCACCACTTCATACATGGCTCTACACCAACCAACAGCTAGTCAACTCCACTTTAGCAAAGCACCTTTCCTTCGCCGTCCAGTCCACACTAGTTCTACCAATGGTGATGCTGGTCAATGACAATCTGTACGAGTGCCGAGCAAGCGCTGGGGCATTCCCTAGTGACACTGCTCGGGCCAATCTCACAGTCTATGGTAAGTATATGTCAGTCAAATCATGTGCAATGAACTGATTGTTGTACAGCAGTGTATACTATAGCATGAGTATGTGTGCATTTCTCTGTGTACTTGCAACAAGAGTTGGATTCAGAGATGGATGGGCTTATGTCGCCAATCCGCATTCTGTGATTTGTCCAAACACACTTACCACAGTGCCATGCGCCCTCCTAAATTATAGGGCTGTGAGCAGATGTACATGTGAATTTGTGTGAGTCTGCATGCGCGCGCGGGTGTGTGCGCGTGTGTGTGTGTGTGTGTGTGTGTATGTGTGTGTGTGTGTGTGTGTGTGTGTGTGTGTGTGTGTGTGTGTGTGTGTGTGCGCTTGGTACAGTAGAGGTTGGTTGCATTTTTGAGTGCTCTGACCTCAAGTCGTTTGTGTCACGTAACACAGCCCTGTCCGTGTGGTGTAGACCAGGGCAGGGCTGTGGTGACCTCCGCCAGTGGCCTTGCAAGCTACTGCGGAGTTGTTGTTGCGCACTCACTGCACAAGTAGTCGGAAAGTTCATTTTGAGAATTTCGAAAATTTGAATTTGGAATGGTGAGGAGGACGACGACGAAGTCCAACCAGACAGAGAGGAGAAAGGAAGGAAGTGGTGGTGGTGGACGTGGAGCTGCTCTCGCTTTCGCGACGTGGAATGTTCGTTCCCTTGTCGAGGACTCTGGAGACGAGCGGATCTGCAGAAAGCGGCAAAATAATAATTTGTCGATCGATCGTAAATTGGATTTCTTGGTCGCGGAGCTTCGGAGATATGGAATTGCTATCGCTGCGATCCAAGAGACAAAGTGGTTCGAGTCCGATGTCTGGAGAGCTGATGGATATACGTTCTTGCACTCAGGTCGTCGTCTACCAAATGGCGATGGTCCTGCGCGTAGGAACGAAGGTGTTGGAATTATGCTGAACCCAGGGATGACGGAAGCTTGGAGACGTGCTGGTGAGCAGTGGACCGCTGTAAGTTCGAGATTGGTTGTGGCCCGTCTCAAGCTCGCGGAGGCGGGGGAACTTCGAGTGCATGGCGAATGGCAGAGAAGGAATGATTTGTATGTGACAGTTGTGAGTGCGTACGCACCAACCAGTAAAGCTACTGCACCCGTCAAAGATCATTTCTTCACAGATTTGCAGAGGGTGGTCGATGGTGTGCCAGCCAGTGATGTTCTGTTGCTGCTTGGTGACTTCAATGCTAGAGTTGGCAGCAGCAATGACGCAGGAGACGAATGGAGGGCTGTGTTGGGGAGATACGGTCACGGTGCGCGGAATGATGCTGGTGAGCGGCTTCTGATGTGGTGTGCTACCAACGGGCTGTCTGTAATGAACACCCATTTCCAGAAACCTGCGTCGAGGCGTGGGACCTGGATGCACCCAGCTACGAAGCAAACCCATCTCATAGATTTTATCATCATGAGGCAGCCACACCGTCGCTTTTGTCTTGATGTCAGCGTAATGCGAGGTGCCAACTGTTGGACAGACCACCACATGGTTCGCAGCAGGATTCTACTTGATCGTCCATTGTGCCGCAGGCCTCGCCCTGTGCCGAAACCCGCACCTGTTGCTGTCGGAAAGCTGGGTGACCCGGCCGTTCGCAAGAGCTTTGCTGAACAAATTTCAGACAAGCTCCCTGATACTGCTGATGCGGACACTGCAGCTGACCAATGGCAAGCAGTGAAGGATATAATGTGCAGTACAGCAGAGGATGTCCTGGGACCACGGCAACGCAGGCAACCCGACTGGTTTAAGGCGAGTGAGACTGTGCTTCTTCCGCTGATTGATATCAAGAATTCCGCTGGAGATGTCATGTTGCAGAAGAACACCGCGTCTTCACGCAAGAACTTTCGTCAGACACAACGTGAGGTGGAGAAGGCTGTAAGGAGTGCCAAGGAAACTTGGATTGAAGACATCGCATCCCAAGCTGAAAATGCTGCTAACAATTGTTCTGTTCGTTGGGCTGCAGTCCGCAAGTTGCAGACGCTCCATCAAGGCCGCCGTCCAATGCAGCCGTCTGCTGTGTATTTGGAAGATGGCACGTTGAGTGATGGACCCGAGGCTGTCAGTGGAAGATGGCTGCAGCACTTTCAGGGTGTCCTGAACGTTGAGAGTGAGTTTGACGCAGCTGTGGTCGAGATGATGGCGGATCGCCCTGTTATTCCTGAGCTGGACCAGCCACCCACTGTTGCTGAGCTGGAGGCTGCACTGCGGACCATGAAAGCGGGTAAAGCTGGCGGTCAGTCGGGCATTCTACCGGACATGGTCTTACATGGTGGCAAAGACCTACACAGTCGCATCCTGACCATCATGCGTAAATCCTGGCTCGAAGGCACTGTAGTCGATGATTGGCGTGATGCAGTGGTTGTGCCCATCCCCAAGAAGGGAGATCTACACCACTGTGATAACTGGCGCGGCATCAGTCTGTTGGACGTTGTCGGCAAGCTGCTTGCCCGTATTCTGCAGGACCGCCTCAAAGCTATCGCTGAAAATGTCTTGCCAGACTCTCAGTGCGGCTTCAGAAAGGGACGTGGCTGCGTCGATATGGTGTACGTCGCACGGCAGTTGATGGAGAAGACGTTGGAGCATGATTCAGATGCATATGTCCTGTTCGTCGATCTGAGAAAGGCGTATGACAGTATCCCGCGTGCAGCGCTGTGGCAGGTTCTCCAAAAGCTTGGTGTTCCGCCGGCAATGCTCCGCATCATTCAGTCACTCCACAACGGCATGACTGCTTCTGTTCGGGTGGATGGCAAGCTGACTGACCCGATAACTGTGCGGAATGGATTGCGTCAGGGCTGCACTCTCGCACCAATGCTCTTCAATTTGTACTTCTCTGCCGTCGTTTCCAGTTGGAGGTCCAGTTGTCCGGACGCTGGCATATCCTTTTGATATAAAGTCGGGAGGAAGCTAGTAGGTGACCGAACGGCGAAGGGCAAGCTTCTGTCATCAACGGTCACAGAATCCCAGTTTGCTGACGACGCTGCACTCTACGCAACATCTCGGCCTGCCTTCGAAGCGATGACTTCCAGCTTCATCACATGCGCAAGCAGCTGGGGCCTGACGGTCAGTGTGAGAAAGACCAAGGGTATGGCTGTGGGTGAGTCTGCTGATCGCCGTGACGTTGTTGTTGGAGCAGACACGATTGAGGTGGTGGACCAATTCACCTACCTTGGCAGTGTGCTCTCCTCGGATGGTCTTGCCTGTGCTGATGTCCGCTCTCGCCTTGCGAAAGCCTCAGCTGTGTTCGGAGCCCTCAAAGCTTCTGTCTTTGATAACCAGACCCTGTCGCTTCGCAGCAAGAGGCGTGTCTATGAGGCTGTCGTCCTCACGACCCTCTTGTATGGTGCGGAGACGTGGACCACCAAGGCAGGCCACCTCCAGAAGCTAAACACGTTTCACCATCAGTGTGTTCGGTCCATTGTGGGTATCGGCCGTCGTCAACAGTGGGATGATCGGATCTCAACGGCCACATTAGCAGCTACATTCAGTGTTGACCCTGATATCACCCGCATCATCCGTCGCCACCGGCTTCGTTGGCTGGGTCACGTCGGCAGGATGGACGACTCACGCGCACCGAAGCAATTGCTGTTCGGCGAGCTGCCTGCCCCCCGTCCTCGTCACGGCCCGAAGAAGAGGTGGCGAGATGTGGTATCGACTGACCTGGCGGACCTCGGCGTGACCACCTGGCTTGAGAGTTGCCAAGATCGTCCCGGCTGGAGACGAGTTGCGAGTAGCACCCCACCGCCACGGCCCGCTCCTGATCCTCTTCTATGTGTCTGTGGACGCCCATTTCGTCGACCAGGAGACCTGAAACGACATGCCAAGTTCTGCGCTCGTGTTCTCACTTGAACTTTCCGACATTCGCTATCATTGCGTACGCAATGGGCAAGATCAAGGTCAAGGTCAAGGTGTGTGTGTGTGTGTGAGTTTGCGTGTAGCAGGAGGGGGGGGGGGGGAGAGGGTATGCATGCATGTGTTTAGGGCTGCCAGCATGCTTGGGCATTTGAACGAGCGGGTTTCGTGTGTTGGGAAAGTTAAAATAATAGGAGGCGAAGGGTGTAGGACTAGTACATGGTCATCCGAAATCTACTACTGAAGTAGCTGAGGTTCGAAGTGTGTTTTACTTGATCCTTTTGTTATATCAGTATGGTAGATGGATCTGATCTATCCTCCCCCACCGTTTAGGAGCCACATCTGACGCCTGATCATGGGGTGTTGGCGTCCCACAGAAGCGGAAAGATGGTTCTTGACCAGGGAGTTGTACGACTCCTTGTTCTTGACCTGCCCGGTACGCGAACCCGTCGAATTTTTTTTGTTTTTGTTTTTGTTATGTCAGCACCTCCGGTTCAGATTCTCCCCACTGCCAGTATCACGGTGTTGCTTCACCGGCCGGCGGTACTTCACTGCAATGTCTCATCAGTCCCGATATCCAGGATATCATGGTATCGAGATGGAAAGGTAAGCATTACAGTGTTCCGGCATTTTCGCAAGATGTCATGGCATCAGCCATGGTGTACATGACTGGCAGGGTTCTAGCCAGGTCAAAATAGTAGGGGGGTATGAGAAACAGTTACATAGTAACCCATTTTTCCATTTTCGGAAATTGTCTTGCCATGCAAAATGCAACGTCCAGATCGAACCCCCGACTTCACTCCAGACATATGTGCCTTTTTGGACCCTCCAGTACTGCCAGTAGTGGCTATCGACTGAAAATTCGTTGAACAGCATGAAAAAGCACCAAAATTGAAAAATGAGCAGGAGGGCTGCACTTTTTCAGGGGGGGGGGGGGCAAACAGAGTAGGGGGACGCTGCGCCCCCCCCCCTCCCCCCCCCCCCCCTTTGGCTAGAACACTGACTGGGGTGTACATATACATGTATGGTTGCAGGTCACTCGTATTATGTTGTCCGTTCAGCACCTGTGTCTGATCTAGCAGAATCTGACTTCAAACTTCGGCCAACAGTATTAGCATGTGATTTCGAGGGCATCGTGTTTGTCGAATGCGCTTTATGTTACAAGAAGCAGGGCATTTTGCAGTATATACTGATCGATCTGTAAACATTGTAAACATTGAAATTATCTGTAGTTGTTACGGGCAGGCGATCTCGGTGGACGGGTGACATTTTCGGCAATGAACGTGACCCTTTCGCTAGCTAATGTCACTTACGCCGATGGCGGTGGTTCCGTCTATCACTGTGAAGCTTCCAACAAGAATCCATCACTGCCATTAGTGGGAGGTACGATGACTGGGAATCACGCATCGGTGGCTGTTGTGGGTAAGTCAAGTCCAGACGTTGTGGCTGGGCATAAGGCATCAGTGACTGTTGTGCGTGAGTTATGTTGGTGGGAGCATTCTGATCTGCAACTGTACCATGCTGATGAAATTCGATTTTGATGTTGAACTCGTCAAGTTGGCTGTTGGTTTGCAAACTAGAGATGTGTTAGAGCTAGGTCTTAGGTCTTTTAATGTCTCAGTAGCCTCTCAGTTTTATGCCCTGTTATCGCACATTCTGACTACTTATTATCTGGTTATAGTCGTGGATAGTTGCTTCATAACTCGTTTCCTTGTCATTTTGTCTTTTATTTTAGATTTTGATGTTGTGAGATTTTCTAAAATCAACTACACGGAAAGTAATCCTCGTTGCTAATAACTTGGTTTGCATGCAATGACTTCGAAACATTCAGAAGAGTGACACAAATGCAATGTGACTTATTGGATGTCAGGACCATCTTCTTCCACCTGTATTTAACAGCTCCTCCTTCATTTTAACAGATAGCAACTGTCCGTCATATCCTCACGCACATGTCTGCTCTCACCTTATGCTTTTCTGTCTGCGTCTAGGTTCGCCTCGGATTCAGTTTATGTCTTCAACTGAATTTCATGTGTTCGAGAACACTACAGTTGATCTAAACTGTACTCTCCTAGTGAATCCCGAACCAAACATACAATGGATCGTTTCCCCGATGCCTCAGAACACAAATACTCTATGGAATGGGTCACGAGTATCCTATCCCGTTTTCACAAGCTCTGTACGGTGGCCGTACCTCCCCGTATATAGCAACGGCCACACGTACAACATCACGCTTGTGGCTTGGAACCAGTACGGCAGTGATACACGTACTGTGCCAGTGACCATATATGGTGAGTCTGGAGTCTGCCAGCATAACGATTTTTATTTGAGTGTTTCACACGACTGAATTATTTTCCCAGATCGACTGATACATCTGATTAGGATAAGGAATTTCAGTGTACAGGGCAACAATAAACATGCTCTCCCATTTATATCGCTGTGTGTGTCCGTCCGTCCGTCTCTCCGTCTGTTCGTCCGTCCATCCGTTTGTCCATCTCTCTAACTCTATTTTGTTTTCAAGCTGTTCCAGTGTTCATGAGCGCATCCTCATCAAGTGCTTTGATTGGTTTCGAGAACCAGGCAGTTATTACGCTAAAGTGCATATTCCGGAGCGTACCTGCACCAAACATAACATGGCAGGAGCAGAGCGATGGGAGAATACTCTCATGGCCGTCTCGATTTTACCAGAACACCACCACACCACATGTGTACCACAGTGAGCTAACAATCACAAACTTGCAGGTCAGCGACGAAGGCCATTACCTGTGCACGGCCGAAACAGCCAATGGAACAGCCTCTGCAATGGTGCAACTACGAGTCTACGGTTAGTTTGTAATATTGATGCATACATTCTCAAACTCCAGACAGCTAGTTATTTCGACCTAGTAATATTTTCATCAGCGAGGCTCAGAGTGACTGGTCAAAATGGCCAAAGTGAAGTTTAGCCAAAAAAATTAAGTCAGAGTGTTCTAACTGCGAGAAACACTGTCAGGTAGACGCTGTCTATTGTCAAGGTGTGGGCGTTCTGTAGAAGTACAGTTCAAATACTACAAGTAGAGAGGTTCCGGGGTACGATTTTCCATGCCAAAATCCGTATGGTCGCTGAAGATTTTTCGAGGCGTGCTTGAAGCAATATTTCGGTACCGTGAATCCGTGTGGACTGGCTTTCATGCGAACCATGTTTCGTATGGGGATTTTGCGTCATTGAGTGCAGAAATATTAGTTGCGTACATATCTGGTACGAGAAACATCGATTTTCCGCGGGAAGTTTTGACTTCTGTACATATTTTCAAAATAAAAAGGCATAGCGGAAAACACTAAGTTCCGTAGTTCGGATCATTTCACTGATTGAAAACGACATATACAATATCCGTAACGCCTCTACGGATGTTGGCACGGAAAATCGTACTCCGGAACCTCTATTAAGATCCATTCACCAGTGACAAGTATCGTCGACTCTCATGTAGTGGAGGCACTACTCTAGCATCATCTAGCATTGAGCAATGACCTCTTGCTAGAGATCTCCGTCATCGCTCCTTTCTTGTGGCTCCATTGTAAATTGCCAGGATGCAAACTAGTAGAACCGAAGTTCAAGGTTTGTGTTTAAAGTATAAGCATGATCTAGTCGAGTAGTACACCTTAGCATGCACAAAGTGTGGTGAAATTACAGTAAAACCTGTAACTAAAGACCACCGTGACTAGCGACGGGGCCTGGTACTACAGACCACCGTGACTAGCGACGGGGCCTGGTACTACAGACCACTGTGCCAGGCATAGACGGTCTCACATTCACATATGGTTGTGCGGTGCAAACCAGTAACTAAGGACCACCTGCCACTGAAGACCGCTTTCTCTGGCCCCAAGGGGTGGTCGTTAGTCACAGGTTTTGCTGTATTCGATTGCCATGTGTGCAGAGTTGAATACACTGGGATTGTGGCAAAAACACCAAGCTGGGAATACATATGTTGGGACTGTATTGCCATGAAGGCAATTAGAAATCCTTTCCATTGCAACCTGTTCTGTCCTGCATTACAGCACTGCCCCGGGCCTATGCCGATGTGGCTCTGCAGACTGGAGTCAAAGACATGCCACTGAACCTGTCGTTGACGGTACTGTATCCGGGAAATCCACCCATCAACGAGTCTGATATCCTGTGGTTCAAGGTACAATGTTAATCGTGTGCTGGGCTGCAATGTTTGTAGATACTGCCATGTTTTTTTGTGTAGAAGGTAACAATGTGTGCAAAGCCGCTTTACAACCGATCATAGCATTGCGTTGAGAAACACATCTAGCTTGGGAATGTTAACCTGTACCTGGGTTATATCCTTATCATGCATCACCTGGCTGTTGGTCTGGCAGATGCAATGCTATGGAATGTCACAATTTTAGATACAAAATGATGACTTTGTCGCCTCTGGAAGATTAATTTGTTGGGATGCGTCTGTTAGAGAGGACGGAATTCTTGCCTCTTTCATTTATCTCTCAGGCTGTCAATGACTCCTCGTTGCTCCCACTCGCAAATAGCAGCATTTCAGTAGACGGACTGTCGCTGATGGTTGAGTCCATGCAGTATGCAGACGCTGGAAAATACATCGTGGAGCTTTCTAACAAGCTGGGATCGGTCACTGTCAACTTCACTGTGAGATATGAAGGTATGTCACGCATGCCACTTCTCCTTTTTGCTATATCTCCTCTCTTACATCTGAAATATTGATCATCAGCGGGGAGAGAAGGGTGTAAGTACACTTTGTCCTGGATGTGCAGTTTCCTTTGCACATTATTTCCATGTACTTTTTTTCATGTGTTTTCCATTTCAATTTGCAGAACCTCTGCAAATCCGGCACATCTCGCAGAATTTGGAAGTCAACGAACTGGACACCGCGCGATTACAATGCCTGGCAAGCGGCAATCCCAAGCCCAGCATATCCTGGCATTACGGTTTTACGTTGGTTCCGGCCAACCACACCAGCGCGATGGCAATATCTAACTTTACTCTCACCAGCCCTCTAACCCATGACGTTCAATCAACGCTGATCCTGAAGTCAGTAACAACAGCAGCCAATGCAGGAGTCTACCGATGCATCGCTTCCAACTCCTTTCTCAGCAATGTGACTGCATCAGTCAACCTGACTGTTTACAGTAAGCCTTCTGCGTGAGATCGAACATTGCCACTCGTTTATTTTCTCTCATTTTACTCCAGGTGGATTTGAGCCTGATACCGCTCCTGAGCCATGGTCTTAGAACATTCAGTAAAAGAACTGCCCTCTTTCTGAAAGATCATTGTTTTGTTTATTTACGGATTCTCCAGAGGTAAATGGATACCTATTGTCGTGCACGTGCACGTGTCCCAGGTCGTCAGACTAACACACGGGTCGAGCGAGATCCCTCGTCACAAACAGTTTAGAAACACATGTCTTCGAACAAACAACAACTACCAAAACTCCATTGAAGCATCAAAATCAAAGGAGAAAAAAGAACCAAGAACGGAGAGCTGGGGACGCACGTACCCAGCCCCGTACCGGGCGCACAGCCAAGGAGGATGACACCGTAGCGTCCCCACGCTCGACTGGCAAAGAAAACAGCAAGCAAAGAAATCTGACGAGTGCGAGCGCAGTTTCAACTTCCAGCATTTTGAATGACAAGCTGCAAGCGCGAAGCGAGACACGTGACCGAAAATAATGCATGTCATCAGTGCACACGCGGACATATGCAAAAAGGTCAAAAGCGAGTGCTGCAAGAAACAGCACAAATAAATAATAGTTCGGATGGCGAAGAGCTAGAAAGGCAGATTCCTAATCATCGAAGAACAATACATATTGTAGAGTTCCAACGCGACTGCCGGGAGATGCTGGCACCCACCAGACGGGTGGTTGCTGCCCCTGTCAGAGAAATAGAACGGAAACTGAGGCAGAGGAGCCACGTTGCAAACGGTGAAATGCGCAAGGTAAGAATATTCAAGCGGTGTCAAATTACGACGTACTGAGTAATATATGGGTAGACAAAGACAAACACTAACAAATGGAGAACGTTCCAACAGAAGCCGTGAGTGAGAAGAGAGGTGAGAGAATGAGAGCCCTTTCCTGATCGGATCCGCAACACCTATCATGGGAGTCTCACCAAACCAATAAAATAATGAAAATAAAATTATGTATGGAGTGCAAAAAAGTCAAAATCTGAGATTTTTTAAGTCACAGGAGAGGAAGAACAAAAGATTGTTGCACTCCAGAGGATACAGTCAATGCATATAACTATAACAGTTTGTGGTTATAACTGCCCAGGAAGGATTCGACAGTTCTGTGGGGCGCCGAAGAACGGACAGGATAGAATGTTATCAAGCACCGCATACCGATTTATACTCGGTGATTGAACTGCCCATAAACTGAAATAATTATATATGAAAATTAGAACGGTGTAGTCTAGGAGGCTGACACCCCACCCCAGTTCTTCGCCGACCGACAGCACTGTACTACGTGAATGCACATTATTTGTGTGTGTTGACAGTAACCACACAGGCTGAGTGAATCCGAGTCAATGTTTGGTATTGCTGTTTTCCTTTTCTCTAACAGTACGGCCTGAGAGTGTACCCCAAGAAGACACAGTCCTATGCAACGAACATCAGCATTCGGTGACTGTGAGATGTTCATTTCGTGCTCTACCCCCACCCACTATCACATGGCAGCACAGTGGGGTGGATATAACAAGCTCCAGTGTGGTCACCGCCAATGTTTCCGAACCTCATCTGTATCACAGTGTGCTAATACTGTATAATGTTACCATGGCGACAGCCGGCCAATACACGTGCAGTGCACGTAACCAGCATGGGATGAAGTCCAGTCGACGCAGTGTTAAAGTTCAAGGTAGGCACTACATGAACATTGCGCATGATCACACTGTTCATTACCCCCCCCCCCCCCCTCTCTGCCTCCACGCATGCTTTGCAAATTCCCTATTCTCCAGATCAGAAATTGGCCTTGTCTTGCGAACAATTTTGTCCACATGTTGACTTACTATACTGACCATAGCAGGGTGATAAATAAGTTCTGCACTGCCATAAATTTGAATTTAAAAGACGCCCAAACGGTGTACTTAGCGTGCTTTTTTTGTTCTTGTGCGCAGTGTTACCGCAAGCCAGTGCAGTTGCGCACAGTCTGGTTGGTGTTCGGGGTAGACCGGCGACATTGCGCATACGCATTACGTATCCCGGCAATCCTCCAGCACCGGTTTCCAACATCACCTGGTCTCAGGTACAGCTGTAGTTCATCACAATGCACTGCTTGTAGTGTGATGGCACATCATAATGTTTTCATTCACAATCGCGGAGGAATTTTTCGAGCCGTGCTGCCACCCTCCTCCTCCCCCCCCCCCCCCACACACACCCCACAGTCAATTGGGAATTAATTCGTGGCGTGGCACAAGGGACACATAGATGCAGCTCGGTCTTGGACCACTCTGTGGTGGGTCTGATCTACTTACCTCCCACCTTCAGGAGCTGCAACTGCATATTGATATTTGAAGGTGGAGGCGTTTCTATGGTTGCAGAAAACTTGGTTCAATCCATTCCCACCCGAACCGTGAATTTTGTTTTCCCAGTGGCAACACAATGTAATGTCCATAAACATCTCATGTACATCATTTGCCACATTCATTTCATGTTCATGTCAGGGAATGTGCTTTTGCCTCCGCTGTCCTATGCAGCTTGTGAATGACTCTTGGCAAAGCCTGGCAAACACCAGTATCTCAGCAGACCACCTGAGCTATACAATAGCCAGTGTGGAGTATTGGCATGTTGGTCAGTATGCTGTGAGGATTGCCAACCCGGCAGGACACACCGTTGTGTACATAAATCTGGCCTACGGAGGTGAGTACGGGTTAGCTGTGTCCATTGTGAGAAATTCGTCTCCATGACTAGTTGTCTAGATGTTGGTGTGCATTCAAAGCTTGACCGTAAATGTGGAAAGTTTTGGTATGCACCGCCTTCTGGGCGATGTCCTATTTTACTACCTTTCCTCTCTGCTCCAGAATCTTACCCAATCATTCACATCTTTGGCCTTTCGAACCCAGTACATGTATTATGCAAGTCGGGATCCAGACTTTTTTAGGTTGCCCTCGGAGAAAATCAATTTGGGCACTTGGGTACATCTTCTGCAGAATCACCAACATTCCTCAGCTGGCCAACAGATGAGGTGATCAATGAAGGGGATACAGCCCGGTTCAGCTGCCGTATACGGGGATTTCCGGCACCGGATATCACTTGGTACCATAATAGAACGCTGCTCCCGACTCGTTTATCCAGCACTACTATTATCAATGGCCTTGGCCTTTCAGGGAATCTCTCCTCTGGAGTGGCATCAGTGCTGACTCTGGCAAGTGTTTCTCTGGCTCTCAATCATGGTCAGTATTCGTGTCTTGCTGCCAACAGCCACCTACCGTCGGCTAACGCATCTGTGCATCTCAGAGTTTTCGGTAAGTCCACTCCATGGGAAATGTCTCGATCAGTGAGGGTTGGGAGCTAGAAACTTCAGATACGCAGCATCAGCAGGTTTAGAAGGGGATAGAAGTTAGTGTTGGGTTAGGAGAATGATTAATAATCTGTATTGTTTCACTTTGTTGCTTGCTAATGTTTGTTTCGTGAAATTTGTTCAACGACCAGCAATCACATCTGTTGGGTGGTGTGCATGATTCTCTGGGTATGGCTACTTACTTATTATCTTCAGTATTGTGTTACCATCGTTCTGGGTGTTCTGTTTCTCTCTCTCACTCATTCTCTTTTTCTTCTTTCTCTCTCTCTCTCTCTCTCATTCTCTCACTCTCACTGTCCCCTCAATTGCTACAGTTCCACCGAAGCAGACGGCGTTTACGCAGAATGCAACCGTACAGCTGGGCTCTCAGATCAAACTGCACTGCAATATATATGCAGTTCCCCTGGCCAGTATCACCTGGACTAAAGATGGACAGGTATGGAAGCTCAGCACATACCGTTACTCGATATGTGCGCATGTTCCACAGTGTGGCGAAGCATTCATCGGCACTGCCATGTTGGTGTTCATTTGCGTCAACCGTTGAAGCAGAGAAGCCGTCATGGATGTCCCATGAGTTCAAGGAATTTTTTATTTATTTATCGTCTCCACTTCATGGCGCATAATAATACAGCCGTCGCCAAAAAAATCCGGCCAATGCTACGATAGCTGCCGGTAGCTGTACCGTACACTGCCACTGCCTAGTGCATGGAACATGCCATGCATGTGCATGATACACACTTTGCAGTACTCGACCAGACTGCAGCCTGCAGCAGGTAGAGAGTAGTGCATGGAGTGAAGCCTGTCCAGCATTGTGAATGCTGGTGCTGTAAATGCCCCAACGATGAAGTACGGCCGCTGAACGCTTACCATACCACTGTGTCCATGGCATTGGCCGGATTTCTTTGGCGATGACTGTACATAGCCAATACAAGAAAGGGAGGGTGAATCCAACCACTGAAATTAGCATGGATCTTTTGATTTGTCTACCTGGCACCTTGGAAGTGATAGACTGGATTGGAGACAAGAGATTTGCAAAGGCACATTGACAATCTTTGTATACAAATCATGCAGCAAGTCATTGCACTGTTGTTTTGTTTTGCTGGTAATTTCAGGTGCTTGCAAAGGACGGGCTTGGTGGAAGAGTATCATTTGCAGTGTCAGGAGACACGTTGATCATAGGCCTCGTGGAGGCAGGCGATGCTGGCATATATCGTTGCAGTGCTGACAACGTGGACAGAACTGCACCGGCCGCAGGGGGATATGTAACGGGAAACCACGCTTATGTAACTATTCAAGGTAATTTTTTTGTGTAAGATTCTAGTACTTCTTCAAGTACAGTGTCGCTCAATGAAATCCAGTCGCTTCACTCACGTTTGCGCCTCGCACCATTTCCCAGCCCAGTGTTCGCAGGTCTAGGGCTGCGCAACGCCCGGCGCTTACTTGAGTGACTCGACTGGATTTCATTGAGTAGCACTGTAGGTTTACTGTTAACAAAGTGTTCGGGTCTATCAAAGGACTGCCGTGGTAAAATGACCTCCAATTGTTCAGTACGTGGGGTAGTGGTCTACAACAGGAATCGCAGTCGCGTGTTTTATGATAAAACTCATATTGTGGCATGCAGTGTATTTCAAAACGCGGCAACACTTTATCTACCCCGTCCTTGCTTTGGATTTTTTACCTTTTGCATTCTAATCCTAATTTTGGAACTCAATTTCCACTCCAACTGAAAAGCCTGTTACAATCACTGAGGAGATATGCGTAAATTGGGCATCGGGTATCAGGCCAGTAGAGATTCACTGTTTGCTTTTGAAAACCATAATCTGCGATTCCATTGTTCACGTGAGATCCAGTCAGATTTTGTTATCAGCATCTGTAGCAAGTTACTTGGAATTCTGCCCCCACAAGGGTCATGACAGATGAGTTTATGCTATCGTTCACGCCGGAACTGCTGCTGCATACCTCAAGTCTATAGACGTAGCAACTTCACGCCTGCACCTGACTCATGCGCTATGACTTCCCTCAGAATTTCTCACCTTACCCCCCCCCCCCTTATGTTTAGGCTGCCCGTTTTGGAGCCATCAGTTGCCTGATGATCGTAGTAAAACGTGAAACTCAGAGTTGCGACACAGCTTCCAATCTCTCTTGTGTAATAGATGAGTTTATATCCAATATTGTTCTGCTTCATGTGGTAGTGGCCGCCAAGATCACTGAGAGCCCGGGAAAGGCTATGGTGGCTTACCGTGGATCTCCAGTCAGCATGTCTTGCCGGTTTTCTGGGACACCGCAGCCCACTGCTCACTGGTGTCATGTAGCCAACAACGGGTCCTGCCTGATCAACACTGCGGCTAACTGTCCCAGCACCACGCAGCAGATGCAAGGTCACAAGGTCACGCTGGACTTTGCTGCTCTGGAGAATTGTCACCAGGGCATGTATCGCTGTGTAGTCAGCAATGGACTTGCCATGGACATGGCGGAGGTCAAGCTGACCGTACAAGGTTAGAGAACTCTTCTTAGTGCCGTATTTTGGTGCATGTGTCAGGGGCGTAGCAGCCCGTCCGGCTTTAGCCGGACCACCTTTTCGCCCAGAAGCGCCCAGAATGCAGGATTTTGCACTCTGATTTCAAAATGTTCACGGGTAACACCCCCAGACCCCCTCCAACCAGACCACCTTCCACAACGGTGCTACGCTCCTGTGTATGCACATGGGTTTGTACCCATTATAACATTTATAATGGGTACAGATAATATGTGCACCCTTCGCAAATATGCGAATGGGGTTGGTTGTAAGCACACTTTTCTCACAACATCATTCTCGACTTGAAAAGACAATATGAATGTTTCCATGGTGATCAAATCAAACTCTGAAAAAACACAGCGTGGTTGTGACTTGACTTTTTTTCTCAGTTCTACCACTGGATGTGCTTGTACTCATTTCTTCTGTGTAAATATGCGTGGGTCTCAAAAACTAAGCAACATGCTTATGTGTGTGGATATAGCCTTGGCGTCAATTGTAAGCTATGCTTGCCTGTCTTTACGTAAGCAAATGTAGCCATGCCACTGTTACCTAGGAGTGGGGAGTAGAAAATACTTGTGTGATATTTCTCGGAATTCGCGTGAACAAAACGTAGCCAATGCAGTCGACGTACTTTCCCTACCACCGAATTGAAAATTTAAAAAAAATTGTGCTTCTATCAGTTGTGGCGAGAATGCATACCGAGGTTGGTCCATTAAATTTCAACAAACCAAAGCAGATTGTCCTTTATCTGGTGTCACGCTCTATCTTGCTGGACATGTGTTTCAGACAAAGCACACATTAGCATCATTGGAAACTTCACAGGAACTCTACTGGAACAGGCTGGTGCCACTGCTCAAACCATCAATGATTTAATCGCAAAGACGGTATGTTCTAACCATCATTTCATCAAGCCAGCCAAGCTCTGCACATCAATGGGTGGTGATTTGTCTGTAGCATGGATGATGGGGAAATGGTGGTTGTGTATGTATTGCGTCCGCGCATACATGCCTGTATGTGCATTTCCGTGTGCACGTGTGTGGGTCGTCGCATGCGCATGTGAGTACCGTAATTCCGCGCGTATAAGCCCACGGGTCTATATCCGGATATAAGCCCACCTCCGTTTATAAGCCCATGGGCTTATAAACAGACATAAATGCAACTCGCGTGTCAACAAGAATTTTTCACAATGTGGACTCTTCCTACCATGGTACAGCAGGTCAGTGCAGTTTACCAGTAGAGTATGGTAGACTCACTATGAGCACGGACTTGTACTTTTTCATGAGCTTTCAAAATTCGAATATTGGCCCATGGGCTAAAAAACGAACATGTTTTACTGGATATTTTATCCCCAAACTGCATTATGCCCGTAGCTATGCAGAAGATGTTACTTCAGTAACGTCTGGCGCTAGCCAGGGTCCACACAGCTTTAATTTGGTATTTGTTTGTTTGTTTGTGTCACGCCTGTCGCTATCCATATCTGACGGCAAAAAAGCATAGGATGTTATAAATTTTTCAATTCTATTTTTTTTTCAGGCATATCCTGGGATTCGAACCCGCACTATCGCCCTACATGCATTCCCCCATACACTTCGCATTCATACCCATTCTTCCAAGTTGCTTCACGTTATTATCTTGCGTTTGAAAGCCCTATTTGAATATTGCGGGCAGCTGTATGTGGCCAGCTGTGTTTGATGGTACGGTACGGTAGGGAGACGGTGTCGTATTACCCTCGATTGTACCTGTCCCGTACCTATCCCCTACCGTACCGTGCCATCAAAGACGGCTGGCCACAATGCATATTCAAATAGGGCTTTCAAATGCAACATCACAATGTGAAACAACTTGGAAGAATTAGTATGTATGCGAAGTGTATCGGGGGATGCATGCAGGGCGCGCGATAGTGCGGGTTCGAATCTCAGGTTATGTCTTAAAAAAAAAAGGATTTTTTTAAAGAATTTATAACATCCCTATGCTTTTTTTTTGTCTACAGTCCATTCATTGGAAACTGGCACCCTAACTTTTTGGTGTCTCTCTCACATAGTTGTAGATATCGTGAAAACAACAGTACATCCTGCATTGTGTGACCCGTGCAATTCCTCCTTGCCACATTTGAGGCCAGGAAAGTCCAAGAACAGGGAAATAGAAATTCAGCCAGGTTTTATGAAATTAGGACAGGTATACCATGGCAAAATGTATGGAGAAGCAGATCCCAAACCCAGATTTTTGAGATTTAAAGTGGGTCTTTGATCCTCAATTTGGCCCAAAT